CTCTCTCTCTCTCTACAATAATCAACACAATATATTATTAAATCCATAAAATGTAATTCAAAACCTTTAATCCAATTAAAAAGGTTTGGTCTTAGGTATAAGAAGAAGTATTAGAATTATATATTTAACGCTATATAGGTAGGTACAACACACGTTTTACACTATATCTCACACCACGCCTTTTTTTTTTTTTTTTTTTGTTGCTTTTTTTAACTACACTAACCTCTCTCCACCATCAGCAGCCACGCAAAGGACGACCTTTTTTTCCCTACTATTATTCCTTTATTCTATATTATATTGATTGCGCACATGCCCTTTGTTAGAGCAACAATAACAGACATTTCAGATAAGACCACCGAATCCTTAACCCCTAATATATCTAGCCAAATTAATGTTCTACGCGATTTATCAATAAAGTATAAGACCTGTGGAAAATCACTACTATCGCGATAACAGCTTACAGCGATCACGTGCCTGTTTAATGCTGTACGTATACCTCCGTTTATATTATTCTTCGACGACATATACTTATAGTAAATGTGTCATGTAACAAAAAAAAATAAATCTGCCATCAACAAACGAATTATTTTAAGCGAACATTTCATCGATCTGATATTATAATATTATTTTGTAGGTGCCTACGTACTTAAAGTCATTATTTTTCAGTAACAATGTTTATCCTCGCATTCACATCCGACTAGAACAGTATACTGATATAAAGTTCAGTTGTGTTAGTTATTATATTAACCCGAAAATAAATAGTAAAATTCGTAATTTCGTAATATTGCAAGTGGGTATGATAATGACTAAATAAAAGTATATGCGATGGACATAAGTATAAAAAAACAACCGTCATAAAGATACAAAAATGTAGAATATTTTAATGCAAATATGGTTTATATTTAATTATTGAAGTTAATCCAAACCCATAAAATTGAGATAAGTATGATTGTGTTAAAGATTTTTTTTTTACGTTTATTATTCAGTGTGGTTATTGTTGAAGTGAGGCAATTATAAATAATGATTACTTTATAATAATAATCTCGGAAACAGAATAAACGATTATTATGTGAAAATTTAAATTTTTCATCAAACCACTCGCCGAAGGCTTTTCATTAGAAAGATTGAAGATCATTAGCAATATATTTAAAAGGTGTATATAATATAGTTAGTAACTATAAGTTACGTTCATTGTGGTATATAAAACCCCGTAGGGTTCACTCAATGCAGTGGTGTGGCCCAAAACTTAGACTAAAAACATAGTTGGATAAGAAATATTTACATATAAAATCAATAATAATTTATAACCCGTGGGAATGTTACAAATCGATATCGATAAAGAGACTTATGCAAACGTAAAACACAATGTATCATGATATTCGAGGAAGAAATTGGAGTGTATCGATACGTGTCGGGTCAATTCCCGAGAAGTTATACGTGATATACACTAGCGATACGTACCGATTCGTATCGGACTAAGACTTCGATACGAGCCGATAAGTAACTATTCCTGTCGGCGCGTGACTATTCCCAGTCGATACGTATCGAATTTTCCTTCTTGAAAATCTTGTATGGGGGGATGTATATCCGTGAATTTTGATTATTAATATTTAAGTACGTATACTACTGATGCAGGTATGTAGGTAAATATTTTATCACTACACGCTATAGTTATGTATTCAGCCATTTTCTCTGTTAATATAATATGTGTTTTAAAAAATAGATTTTTGGTTACCTACACAATTGTTGTATCATCCCAGCACAACATTTTTTAGTTTTAGATTGACAGAAAAGTGGGCTAACATTTTTTTTTGGGTAACCCTATCGTTACTCTACTCAGCTCAACTAAAATTAAAATGCTTATAAATAATATATAACTACAACTATGGTTCGTTATCCCGCTGTTGTACAACGAATTCTTGCGTAAAAACATTCGAATTAAAAATATATAACTGAAATGTATACTATAATACTGTCGTTTGAAATATAAATAACAACTTAAACATTATTGTAACGATTAAAAAAATATTAATTTAATTTTTCAAAAATACTGTGCAGTACAGACTTCAAATTTAGTAAAAAACAAGCTGTATAGTTATAAGATAATCACCATGTATACAATAATAAGCATTTTACATATTATTATTAAACCTCAGAAACATCGGTGTGGGTAGAAACTCACCGGTGGGCGTACAATATTATTAGGTAACTATACATAAACTTATAATATTCTACCTTAAGCACCTAAATGCTTTTTAATAATTTTTTTTTCTCATTTTCGACGTTATATATATTACATCCGCGGAAACGACTTCACGTACACCCAACATGTTTATTGTGTGGCATTAACAATGTCGTAACAATGTTACTCGGTATATTATATTTTACACCCATCGCGGTTTCTGCCACCCGTCGACGTGAAATATACTGTATACATATAGATATTAAATTCGGTGCGAACCTCCCACCCTCTCACCAGACTTGTTCACGTGACGTCATTGTAAATTTGTAAATGCTTTTATTATCTATATAACACGTCGTATATACGCATTATTTATACAATATACGAGTAAATAGGGTGCCGAGGAGTTTTGAAAATTGACACGTCATATACCAACACCACCGTGGTAGTCTGGTGCGAAAATCATAATATTTTATAACGTCGTTTGGGGGTAGAGATTTAATTGTAAAAAGTGTTCAACGGCTTGTCGATAAACCAGCGGCGAACGTACACCCAACCTAATCTATAAGGATAGTCGCAAGCCCCTCAACCACAACTTTTAAAGTCTATAATTTTAGTTTTTAATATAAATTATCAGGGTCTGTGCCGTTAATACAATACAAGCCACCCCCTCAGAAAAATGTACCTGGTTGCGCCTATGCCCATATGAGTGTACAAGGCGTACACAGCGCAAACCTTACAATATATTATTACCTAAAGATTTATAGCGTGGCACAGTGTCGTCGTGATTTTAGTAAATCGCTTAGCCTCCTCCCATGAAATTTTAATGGGTTTCCACCTATGTTTATGGGGGGGGCTCAGCTTTTATTATCTTTATAACACACCGTGTATACGAGTAAATAGTTTTCTGAGGAACTTTCGAAATTGACACATCATATTATTATACCAATCATTTTAGTCAGGCGCGAAATATCATATTTTATAACGTCGTTTGTGGTGGCGGATTAATAATAATTATTGTAAACAGTTTTCTTCGGCTTGTCGATAAACCCGCCGTGAACGTGTATACATATCCTAAATGTACAACGCGCAAACCTAACAATATATTGTATTACCTCTAAAGAATAATAGCGTGGCACAGTGTCGTCGTGGTTTTATTTTCGGCTGTGCGCAGAGAATGATTTTAGTGAAATCGTGTAAACAATAACAGTATAATATAATACCTACGCGCAAACATAAGGCACCCGCCGTGCATTCAATTTAAAACCTTTAATGAATACGCCTTCCGGGACATGTATATCAAAACTTTCGACGATAATCGCAACCCCATATACCTACGGATACAAACAAAACTTGCAAAGTTCAACGGTATATGTTGTAACTAAAATTCAAGCAGCTATATTATTAATTTTATTACATTCGTGGTTCTGGACCAAAAGCTGCTAACTTGATATTTTTTTCAATTCCACTGCAGTTGTTGCATGTTGTATGCATATAATATGAGTTATAAGTCATATATCAATGCTCGATAATTCAAGCTCACAAACAACCATTTATAGACGCATTTTTTAAAAACTATCTATAATATAAAATTTCCTAAATCGACACAATAATTTACGAAATTCGTTATTCAATAGTGATCTAAATCTCTAAATACTAATAAGATAATTCTGCTTCTTTGTTATAGTGTTGAAAAATTTAAATCAATATGATGTTTTATTTACATGATAAAGTAATTAAGTGATAACCAACAATTGCTACATCGTTTTCATCTAGACAATTATACAATATTAATATAATTATATGGTATAACTGTACATTCTTTTTTAACGTTAATGTTTCTTAGAGAAATAAAAACGGCAAGACATACCGTAAAACAACTTTGTTAATTTTTAAATTATTTTAGCAATCGTAAAAATAATTCATGGATTATAATAGTTTGAAGGCCTCCTGAACAATTTGATATTTTGAGATATTATCACCTTTTGGTTTTGAGCCAATGCGTATAAATCTTCATATAATGTTCAGATAATTTGACTTACAATATCGTCAAACGATATAAAAATAATAAATAGCTTTAATATTTCAGCAAAATTGAATAAGCAATTATTTTGAATATTTGAATGAAACACAACCTTCTTTTTCTTCGTCCTTCTCCCTAGAATATACTATGGTGGTCGGCAATAAATATAATTCACATAATATTATTAACGTATAATATTTATTTTATTTTTATTTTTTGTTTTATTCTGGTCGAATCACTTTATTTATTTATTTATTCTTGGTTAATTTTCAAAACGATAAATTGAACATCAAGCAACAAAATAATATAATGCATTGTATCTCATCACCTGTGTTGAATTTTATCACCTAGAGTATTACGGTTAACTCAACTTTTCGAAACCAGTGATAAATATATATTTTTCAGTCGGTTACGAAGTTTATATAGTATAAACATTTATACGTCAATTAAAATACAACATTATACTATTATTACAGTGAAATGTTGCAAACTTTTTTTTCACCTCGATACAGATCGGAATCCACGACGGTATTATAATAATAATATGACGAACGGAGAATACGAATAAGCAATAACATTGTTTAAGTACACTATGTTTCGTGAGAACCCGTCACGGGGTATTAGTGTACAAAACGGATAAATAATTTTTTTTTTTAACCCTCGTTCGGGCATGCGTATTATGATACAGTACCTAACTTTATCATAGTCATGAGTATATAGTACACAATATACATTTCACGTACACAGATAAATATTATATCATTACACAATCGTCAATGTTTATAAGGTACTCACCGGTGGCGAAGTAAGAGTTCTGACAGCTGCGCTGAGATGCTTCAGATTCAAAGGTCGTTGTTGTTCAGTCTGCGTTACGTTTGCTCTCGGAGGAGCCGCTGAACCGGGACGTCCGGAGCTGAACGGACAAAACATCTCTGCGATTTTTAAGATTAAATCTGAAAAAAAAAAACGTTCTGATTGTATTAAACAGTCATACACACACACACACACACACACACACACACACACACACACACACACACACACACACACATATAAATGTACTTTGAGATAAGGTAAAATAATATTACGTACAGAAGATGTCGTCGTTGACGCCATAAGAGCATGCATACGTTTAATGTTCATATTTCATAATTTAGAATGACCGTTATGGTTTTAGAGATTTAAGAATATCCATAGCATTACCGCAATACGTAGATACTGAAAAATTCACTTTTATAATACCAGTGAGGACACTAATAATATGGCCGCGTTGTGTTAGACGTTTAGAAGTATTTGGGCGATGTAAAACCGTTTTATCTGGGCGATCATTTTACCTCGCCGTAACCTGTAGTATTGCATAGTAAATTATAACCTACCCAGTGGCAAATCGTGGACAAAGAAACGGCGTCGGCTTCAAGTTCGCGAAAGAATGATAAGAATAAATAAATTACAAGACATTATTATATTAGTTTCAAAAAAGTTACTTCGATAGTGTCTATGCTTATTATGATTAAGTCTGAAGATTGCCGACACAGCGCCCGAAATAAAGATGAATATTATTACAGTAGGTATATTAAGTAAGTAAGTAAGTAGTACAGTAATTACGATTTGGTGATCGACCGAGTTTTCGGTAAAATATAAATATGTATTAGTACCTACACTATAGGTATTTTAAACAGCTGTTAAACTGTTGTTGATCGTCTTGGCGTAAATTATGACTATAATGTCGTTGGAGAGAAATAATAAAAAGGTCGAATATTGGAAACGAATTTAGTCTATAACTTAACATTAGATGTAATACAATAAATTGGTAATTTAATAAGAAAAACGAATAGATAATTATTTTATATTCAAATATAAAGCCAACTATTATACTACAACAACTATTGTTTACACCTCACAATTGATATGTTATAGCTTCAATAATATCATAATTTTCTCAAAACGGCATAGGTTATAATATTATATCATTTATTATTCACGTGAATAAGCAATAACGATTATTTCTTATGGTTTTTTTTTTGTATAACATTATTTCGAGTACCTACTACACGAGATACTATATAATAAACCTATGGGTACATTTTAGAGAGGAGTGAACAACGTACTATGAGCATATAATATCTTTCTTTCATTTTCTTTGTGTCTGTCGTCACGTTCTACAGGGGAGAATAGTGCTAGAGTCCTCAAAATTGAGGGTGATTTCTGGTAGCAAATTTTATCTAGTTGGTACTATGGCAAGTCAAGATTTAAAAACCTTTGTACTTTTCCTAATGATCGAGAAAAACTAACAAACAACTACTGGATGAAGGGAAAATATTTTAAACAACAACACAGGGTTTTGAAATAATTGATTTTAGTTTGGGTTTGTATGTAGTTAAGAAAGTATAACAACCGTAGAGACTTATAAAATGTTTACCAGACGTATCTAATTTTCGAAATAGATGTCTATTTGTAACTAAGTATAATTGAAATAAATTTTATATTTTTTTTTTTTTTTACCATATTATAATGAGAATAATTTTGTTTCTCTGTCAAAAAGTTTAAGCATTTAATATTAGATTCCTCTTATACAGTAATAAATTGTATTACAGAAGTCCAACAATTTCGAAAATATATATAATAATCACAGTTTTTATAAGCGTTAAAAATTCAAATTTTGATGAAATTGAATTCCTATCAAATACCTCTATTCAAATAGGTATTTAAGAAATTTCCTCGAACAATTTGAATTATTTTATTGAAATTCAAAATGTATTAATCGTACAAATTGCAAACACAGCATTCCACTACAGTGAAATTCACAATCGAATAATATATTTATACATATTGTTTGCTATTTTATACCACGAAAATGTCCTTTAACTGTTCACGTCTGTATTAAATTAAAAGTTAATATCAATTTATAATATATTATGATGTAATATTAGAATAATATAATATATTATTTTGCAGTATTTGGCTAAAGTTAGTGGAATACTTAAATCTACTGTATACATAGCGCATACCAGTCTGGGGAGGAGGTAAGTGGGTCACAAACCCCTTCCCCGAAATATCATCTTTTTGAAAATCTATTTCTACAAAATCCCCATCATCTCGAGTATCAGTAGTTTGTAATTTCGAGAAAATTATTATTAGCTCAACCCTCTCCGAAAAAAAAATCCTGTGTGCACTACTGCAACATAATATTCCTAATAGTTATTCAAATTTATATAGGGTATATTATTTTATATTATAAAATATTCATTGAATAAGTAGCTGGCAATTCGTTTCCGCTTAGAATTATTATTCGTACACAGTGATATTATGTTATCATTGTATTTGAATTGAATATACTCTTCTGTTAATGCGACCTCCTCAATTTTATTATTATTTACATACACAAACGGTATAATTAAACTCTTAAAACAATAGTTATTTATGATAGGGATAAACTGTACCTACGTAAATATTTATCACACATTTATATACTTTCGGTTTGTTTTTTATATATTTTAGAATTGGCAGTTCAATGTTATTAATGAACAATGTACCTACTATATTGTATAGTAAAATTCAACGTAATATTTTGTCGTTTTAAAATCATTGTATTTGTATATACTATATTATATAAACTGTACAACAAAAACATTGTATTTTAGCTGGAAAAACAATTCATTTTACTAGAAAATTAAACCATACCGCCTTAAGAGTCCCGTCGATTATGTATGAGGTGGAAAAATGATCAGCCCTGCAGGGGTGGCACGTCAAGGACAATTTTATTATTGTTATGTATAAAACCATCCACGATTTATTGACATGTTTATTTTTACAGATTTACACCATAACATTATTAATCATGATTAACAAATCATGAGACTGTTCAACGTGACGGCTTCAATAGACGTTCCGTATCGCGGTGACCGGCTGCCAAAGCCAAACGCTCGTTTAATATGTCTTTGCGGGCGATCAGTGTTTAATGGAAATTGTGAAAAGTCGAACTATCTCGTTTCAGTGTGACGATGGGCAAGGCTTTCCGCACGAACGTCGTTTGCGTGAAGTTTCCGAGAGTTAACGGAATGTTATCAGCAGCGTTAAGGCGGCGGGGATAGTAGGGGAAATTCGAGGGACTAAAAAAACCATAGGAAACAATAATAGTATATTGATAGTTGTTACCCCGTAATTATACTATAATTACAATAGTGGGCTATAAGTATTATTTAAATTAAATCGTATAAATGAATGGCCTTAATATCTCACGAGGTAAGAGGGGCGTGTTTATTGTAAGTGCGTTAAAAATAACATTCGATACGCAAAACAAATTATGTATAATAAAGTGGTAATAACTAATTACATCAACAAAGAAACTGTCCGACCTATGCCGTGTACATTTGAGATCTCGTAACCCGGACTCCCGGGAACGAAAAATTTGACAGGTCCGCGTGGACGAGAAGACTTGTCGGACATAGGAGTGAAAGGCCATGATAATCGACGGTGACGAATCTGGCGCACACACGACAAAGGATACGTCGGATGAGCATACGACGACCGATCTGGTAAAGTTGTCGGCTATCGCCCAAATCGAGTACAACTTAGTTCAAACATTAACGACATAATAGAGACTTGCAACAGACATGGATATCGCTTGACTGAGGTGTTCAAAATCCACAACTAGTGGGCGAGTAATCGCATTAGCCAAGGTGTAGGTATATATTTTATAAACACACCTTGAACATTTATTTTATTGTCTATGGCTAGGATAGACTGGCCCTGTCTATTTTTCGATAAGAATAATAAGATTATGCATGGTGAGTTTCAAAATAGAGGGCACGATTAAGTGACCTATGCGAGAACGAAGTTATACGTATATAAATATAATGACATATCTATCTTATCATATGTAGTAGTAGTCGTTATACTACCACCAGTGTCCTCTAACATACAGGATCCGATTCACAGGACCTGTTCATGAGTATAATACGTCGAGTAAAAGCCAAAAGGTCTATGATAGCCACATCGGACGTGTGGTGATTCCACAGGGCAAGCACGGCAGCGCGCGACGTTGCCAAGTCACACGCACGACCGACCTAGTGATATCATCGCGAGCTTGAGTTATCGTGCGATTGGTGGTGCACAGCAATAATAATTAACTCCGTAATAGGACTCTGTGCCTTCGTGATGACGACAGATTCTCGTGGTCCCTCTAACGCGATTACCGCCGATTCTGACTTTACAAGGGACATAATCGAAACCCACGTGAAGACTCTATCGTGTCGGACGTTCCATATACGACGTTCATTTTCTTATCGTGAGCACCGAGAAATATTAGACTGGAAAATCCTGTGGAGACTCGTTAAAGACGATGTATTATCAATATGACTTTCCAACGGCCGTGCACGCGACTTCACGTTTGACGTCCGTGCGTTTCTCGACGGGATTTCCAGCTGTTTTCCGGTCAAACCGTCTCCGTCTCCTGCGAGTGGAGAAGCGTTCAGCAGCTCGGGCTCTCCCGAAACGTCCGTCCCGAGGGGGTGAAAACACGATCATTGTTACACGCAAAACACGCAGCACGATTGCGCTTCATGCAATATAACATGTGTAGTAGTCCTTATAACAATTCTCCGATTGACATTTTAAAAATAATGTCGGACTTGGTTAACTCGAGGTTGAAGTTAAAATGTCGAGTTAACCAAGTTCGTCTGTATTAATACAAGGCATTTGGGTCATATCTCATTTGAACAAATGAAATTATTAAAAAAAATGTTTAACCAACCCAACAATTTGATTCTGTTGTCGGTCGTGTGACCGTAAAATTGGGAAAGGATAGATTGTTAAAAGCCCAACACAATATTATGTATTTCGTGAAGCGAAATAGCGTTGTGCTTTTTGCATTTACAAATTTAAGGGTGGCTCAATAGTGGGGCACCGGTCGTCCTTAGGACCATCACGTCCGAGACCGAAGTCCGGAAAGTGC